ACAAGTGTGTATCACACTATTTTTTTTGTCCCCTATTAGGCGATGATTTTGTAGTCATGGTTCTTCATGCATACACCGTTCTTACAGACATCACAGATTTATGTCACTAGTATTACAAGGAATCAAAGCAAACTCGATTTCTGACAATTTATTCATTCATAGAATGTACGGTATTTGATACATGACCAAAAGACACCCAATCATGTAGGGTTTACACACATAAAAGTGATATTTATATTTACAATAATCTATGGTTACATCATTATTACACAAAATACACATTTGTAAAATCATATACCATAATAAAATAATGTCACACAATATTTCCTTCATGACAAGAAATGTAGGCTGTTATATGAATTCACATGTATAGTAAAGGCAGATAATATACGGATACAGTAGCTGTCAGTTATCACATACTAATATCTCTGTATACTATTAGACTGCAAACAAATTGGTTAACTTGAGATTGTGAAGTGTTCATAAACAGCACCGAAACTGAAATAACACAACTTGGGCAATGAGTAAATATAAGGCCAATAATGGAACCTCATCTCGAAACAGAATGGCAAATGACTGATCGTAAGAGGCTTAAATGAATAATTTGTAATTTAGAACCCTGATGAACTGGATTGGGTGATTAATGGAATGCCAAACATCAACCATTTAATCTTGAACAAATTACCACCATTTGGTCACTAAATGAGTTAAAAAGGAATCATATTATTGCAAATTCAATTTCTTATTTCCATTTCAAAGCTATTTCTTTGGTGCCATTTTGTTATAGGATTTGTAGAAAATGGAGAAATTGACAATTCATCACTATAAATTAGTTAACATATTCAAGCCAGTACTATGTCTGTAAAATTGATTTCCTCCCCTTCTTTTCCAGTGACTTTGTCATGTTCTGCCACGTCAGTTATACCTCAAGTGGACGAGATAGGCAAAACAACAATTTGAATCAATTAGCACACAATCTAGGACACTATCAAAACCAGGATGAAGAAAAAAAGGAAAATCTATTTCTGTTCTTTGCATACATTCAATTTCCTCAAATACAAAGGTGGTGGGTTTCTTACAAGGGCTCTGCGTTAAAATTAGCCATCTCAACGGGAACTAATAGCATCATTTCCATGAATTCCGACAAAAAACATAGATGTGAAAGTAAAAATAGATAAACACAACGTAATGATGATCAATTACTTACTTTGTCCCGTCCACAATACAGGAAATTGTGGTTTATTGTAATAGTACTTAGAATGAACATTTGGTGCATGTCTAAAAAAGGGCAAAAAAGTCATTAATGAATGGTGAACAATTTGTGAGAAGAATGATGAATTTCTTTAATGGTTCATAATTATATTTTACACTCTAAAGCATTGTCCATACATAACACTGTAAACCGCCTCAACAACCCCCCCCCCCCCCCCCCCCAAAAAAAAGCATTACAAAACAAAACAAAAACAAATATTCATAATAATATCAATATATTTATAAGGCGTTTAATACAATGTTTCCTTTAGCGCACAGAAAAAAAACAATTTTTTAAATCCATAAAAGAAAAAAAAAATATGGCAAAATAAACCTCTTTCAAGTAAAGAGAATTGCAAGTGGGAATGAAAAAAACACACTTTTTATCATTTTATTGAGCCGCAGTGTTATCATTTTTGTCTTGTTTTGTTTTTAATACTACTAATAATGGTATTAATAAAACGCTTTTGTATAGCACATTACACATGCTTGCACGTCCCTAAGCCATTTTTGTGCCAATTACAGCACCATGTGTAAACCAGGCTTCAATGTAGTATGGCTATACCCAGTACTGACACTATCAGGTGCCCCAGAATAAATAGGCCCCTAACAATATAATTCTGGACCCCCCCCCCCCCAACCCTAATTTACAAAAAGAAATTTTTACATAAGGCTCATGCATACACACTGTAAAAAGAATAATCTGGACCCCTTCCACGAGGGGGAGAGGGGGAGAAGTTAAGGCAATTAAAGGGATAAATATCAATCAATGGCAAATCAAAGCAATACCAAAAAAATAAGACCGCAAAAGCCAATGTTATACCAGAAACCACATTTCACAAATAGTTTCATGCTCTTCCTTTATTTCATTTTTGCCACATGGACTTGGTTTCCTTCTAGCTATAGAAGCTTTTTGAAATGATGAGGTGACACACAAAGATGTGTCCATATATCACAAACTACAATGGCTGGTTTACGTGTATCTGTGAACTAATAAATATTTATTTACACATATCTGAATGCCAGTTCAGTAATGTATTGTCATGAATGATTTCCTTGTTTTCACATTTCATGTAGAGTATACTATCATTTCTTAAATTCAATCAAATCTTTCCTTTTCAAATTTTAAATTCAGTTTGGGAGTTTGTTGTTCGTTTGTAAGCTTTATTATCGGTGCATGCACTTGTACTCATAACATATACATCGCAGTTCACACATGTATGTTCTTTTTTAACATACTTCTCAATGGCAGTTTGGCATAGAATCACATCATAATCTCATCTTCCTATAACACACACTTCAATGATCAATAAACACTAGCTAGCGTGAACAAATCTGAATTCATAAGCATCAATGAGAAGGGTCTACATTATCTAGACTATACCTTTTCAATGTTCCTGTTGTGTTTTAAAGATTAATCTAGCTAATTTCTCATCGATGTTTTACTTAATGACAGCGACCCCATATCAAGCTGGTTGAGGTTTCACTCATGTGTTCTTGAAATGTCTGTATAAATTTAGTATCAAAAGACAGTCTTTATATGAAGACTACTCCCTTGTAGTGGGAAAGAAGATTAAGGCAACCCGGATACGACAACGGAAAACTAGATGGCTTGAGATACAAGATATATATGCCTGAGTAGTTTCTTTTTGAAAAGCTTTCTTCTATCAAGGCAATATCAATCGTGACAACTCAATTATCAGCCATTGCTTTCTGTATGAGCGTTGAGAATTGAAAGTTGTTTCCTGAATAAAAACAGGCCTCTGACAACTTTGATAGACTGACAAACACATATCTACTGCAGAGAGCGGGTAGGGCAGTATAACTCCTATACTTTAACACAGAGTGAACATCTTTCTGGTTCTCAATAGATAATGTCACCTGTTGAGAGCCAGAAGGGTGTTAAGTGGTACCTAATATGCATATGATACCAGTACTACATCAGTACAGATTGAGCCAATGGGAAATTAATTGAGTTATTAACATATCTTATAAGATAATGACGCTGATCCTAATGAAACGATTGGTTGAAAACGTACACATGACCAGGCATTTATTTTGCCTAACATGTAATTTGGATAATGACCGGTCATTATCCAATTCTAATGACCTGTCATTAGTAAAATCATGTCATAAAACATCATTTTATAAAACAGATAAACAATAATCTTATAAAACAAATAATACAATTCATTATCCACATTCAGTACCTTCAAAACAGTCCAAACACCCTTGGCTACCGCCTTGGGCGTGTTAGACTGTTCCAAAGGTACCATGTGTGGGTAATTTTTACTAATGCCCTCACTGCTGTGTATGATTTGTATATTAAAGCACTTTAAGTTTGAGCAGTTGAAAGTTCTGTAAACAACGATTATCATTGTAATTATCAAATTCATTTGAGTTAACACCCTTCTGGATATCTGCAGATGAAACATTGAATGAAACATTGAATAGGTGATCCCAAGCAATTTGTGCCAGGCAACATAATGACAACAGTCATGTATTTCATTCAAAAAATGAACATTTCTTGATGCAACTTTTTACCAATGGTTCTTTTTGGTACCACCAACAAATTAATAATTGAATTTTCTTTCATGGAAGCCTAATGAAAACAATGGGAATAAAGGACATATCATATGGACACATTGCTAAGAATTGCCCTCAAATTTTGTATTTAGGAGGAATATCAAACCGAAAATGACTAATGAATACCAGGAAGAGTTGGGCATTACTCATACTGTTGTATTACATGTCTGAGTTGACTCACAAGTGACCTTGATCTCCAACATCCAGGCACAACCCATTCAATGAGTCATAAAATCCAACTCAAATAATGGACTGCATATAATATAAACACATTAACACTAATCGACCACCTGTAGTAAGTGCATCTTGCTTAACCCTGACAGCCAGAAGGACATTAACTCATATCCTTTAACACAGAGTCAATGCCTGGCCATCAGCAGACATTCTGTAAAACAAGTTGCCCAGAGAAAAACAAATCCCTTATTTGTGTGTTTAAAGGAGGTTTTTCCCCCATTAGCTGCACACTTTTATGTACTAGTATATCATAGTTTTCACTAAAGCTCAGTTTCACTTTTCTAGCTAGAGCTCTAGCTTACTGAGTTTTCCAGAGATAAATTGCTCACCACTCATAATATATTGTTAATCACATGGACAGGATAAAGCTGGAGTGTTGCAAATGAAATATACCAGAAAATAAGCGATCTAAGTACCATACATCGGCCTTGCTAATTTGTCCAGATAGAGGCATAACATGAGACACTATTGATGAATGATATTTATCAGATCATAGAAAACCTTACAGGCTAATAGTACCTGAGTCACACTTCCAAATCAACCTATTCTTGGCCATTATGGGTAAGGTATTATTTTGTCTGGTCTGTTCACTCTGTTATTGATCTGGTAACGGTCTTGTTAGCGTGACTGTGGTATAATTATTACCTATTATTTGTTTCATCATCCAACGCTTTACCTTTTGTTCTGATTGTTTTCATTTGAATAGCCGGCGGCATTTCCTTCTCCCCATTCTGCTTCGAGCGAAATGACCACCACTTCTTTTCTGGCTTTGGTTTCGAACTAGGCAGCGGTTTCTTGTTTTTTTTCTCAGGTGCTACTGATCTTCCCGGCTGCGGCACCACCTTGATCGTTTTTTTGCTTCTGCTTGGTAATGGCGAAGCCTGAGATAACGGCTCTTTTTTAAAAGGTTTTGATGGTCGGGGTCCAACCTCTGTGGAGCTTTCGCAATCTTTCATGGGTCTTGTGATCGCAATGCGAAGTCTTTCCCAGAAGTCGTCATCATTCGTATACTTGATGCCAACATGGTGACGAAGAAGTCTTGGATATTCCTTTCTGGGAAGGTCTATGTAAATAGGAATCACGCTGAAGTTACTAGATGCATGCATTTTACGAGAGAACTCGCCACACTTGAGAGCTTCCGTTGAAATTAGAAGTATAATACTTTCGGTGTTTCGGATGGCTTGTTCATAAGCTGTGAGTTTATACTGCCCTACAATCTTGTCTCTTTCATAGATGTACCCTTGTAGGTGCAGTTTCTCCATTTCCTCGTAAATTCTGCTCGCTTGCTTGTTGTTAGACTCATGGTTGCACACAAGGAAATCAAATATTTTTTCTGGCTCCAAGATTTTCTCATGTCCACTCTTCGATTGGACCACATTTTCATTGGCATCATTGACAGAGGTAAAACGGTACGGAGTAGAATCGCTCAGGGGTTGTTGAGTATCATCAGGTACTTTTATAGCAAGAGGATCCTCGAATGGCATGCTCATTTTGAACAATCGATTATGTTATGCTCTCTCCTACATTGGCATCAAACGTCAACTCCATTATGAAGTTACATGCTAATATGGGTACTTACACAGTCTTTTAGTATGGATAAAACGAGTTATGACTGGGGAAGCATTCAAAACTATCTCCACATAACAGAGTGTAATGTCTGGAAGTGTCTGCAATCTCAGCACAATCAGTATGGACAAACTCTTGAAAAGCTTATAGACAAGCCTCACAACAGGATAAAGAGGAAATCAAATGACACATGACTCCTCAAACAAAATGGATTCCACAATTAACTCTCCACTTTCCATTCCCATAGAGAGAGAAAAAACACATCACTCTTGAATAGAGGTTGGTGGCTGGGCACAAGTTCACGTGCAAAGTCTTTTCTCACCCTTCACTTCTAAAGAGCACAAATTTTGTAGCAACCGGTTGCAATGTTTGTTCTTATTGTACTTCTCCATTTTCTCTATTTGCTACCTGCATCTTGCTTGTTGGTTCATCAAAGAAATAAAGTTGGTTTCCAATCTTCTGACGACATCAAATATTCAATCAGGAAATGGTAGAAGAGCTGCAGAATAGAAAGGAAAATCATTGAAAGAGGGGAGTGAGAGAGAGAGAGAGAGAGAGAAAGAGAATATAAAATTGTAAGGTCGATTCTAAAACATATAACAAAGAGATTAGTCCATAGATCACAATCTGAAAAATTTCAATTTTTAAAGGTTATCTTTGTAATAATTTGGATTAAATTTTTTTTTATGATAGTAAATCTGAAAACTGATAGGAAACATTTCCATAGCCATTTGTTTCATTTATTCCAGTATCTTGATCTCTAAAAAGTTTTGATTACTGTCACAGTGCTATTTTTTAAAGCAATTTTCAGTAATTTAAATTACTGCAAGCTCAAGTTTACCGTAAGTTAACAAAAGTACAGGGGGGGGGGGGGGTGTTTCACAAAGATCCTAAGTTGAACTTATCTCTAAGTTGGACTTACCGTAACAATTATGGAAAGCTGTTAGCATATTTAAAACTATTTTAAAAAGGCATAAAATGTTGATTCAAATCATTCATATTTTCTATTTTCAAGGAGATTTCATGTTCTTGAATAAATAAATAAATAAATATATACTTAGAGTTAAGTTCGACTTAGGATCTTTGTGAAACACCCCCAGGACTCCATTCCAGGGTAAATGGAGTAGCAATACAAATTTTAAAAACTTCTGAGATGGTGACCAAAAAGAGTAAGATAATTTGTTTCTAGCATTATCAGTGAAAACATATTCATTTTACCTTATGTAGAACAAATGAAATAAAATACATAACTAATTGTACATCACATATTCGTACAATACTGTAAAACTCATATCCAGTCAAGATTGTCACCCCACACTTTAAATAGAAGTGTGTAATATTCTATTACTATCTTAAAAGATGTCAACACGTCTATTAATCACCATTATTTCCTCACTTTGTGAAACTAAAACTCATTTTGGTTTCTAAGTGACGTAATGCAAGGAATCTATAGAAAGAAATAATAAGAAATAAACAAACAGAATATGTCCTCAGTTTTATACATGTGTGATGCTCTACTAAGCTTGAAAGAAGAAAGGTGATAACTTAAAAGGGGGAGTCCACCCTGATTTTAAGTTGGTTTTTAGAAAAGCAGCAAAATGAGAGATACAAATAAGTCTGATTTACCGTCAGACCCTTGTACTGTACGGTCGTACCTTATGTGCTGCGCAAAGATTCAATTAACTTAAATATTACCATTACAAGAAGCGGGTTATTGAAGTGTACAAAAGCTCATATCCTTACAGCTCATTAATGTATGTTATTACCAAAGAAAAATTTGAATAATAAGACCCTGCTCACGTTCAAATTTTATGTTGGGATACACTACCTTTAAAGAAATTTTCAATCGTACATTCACCCTAGATATAATTATTGCAATTGGGGTGAGGTTTCCTTTAAATGTGATTGCAATTGTATATTTTTCTGGTGGGGTGAGTTGTGAAGATAACATATCAAGTATCATTATGGACTTTGCACTACATGTATGAGTGATTTTACTGAATACATGGATGGATACATTACTAACACTAATTTAGTAAGTTAGGCAGAGGATCAGAAAATGTTACAATCTATCTTATACATATATAAAATAGCCTGTATACTACTGTACTACATGTATATGATGAAATGTTTGTTAAATTTTTTTTCTTAGCATGCATTCAGTTATAAGCCTGAACTTGATTAAAATTAGATTCTGTTCCAGACAGGCCTCGATTTGATAAGCTTTTGCTCCCAACAAAAAATACTTTTCATGAAGGTGGAAACTATGCTTGGGTCATTCATTTTGCTGTGTGCAGTTTAGTTTTCTTCACTGCTTGACATTCTTTATGTACATATACTCCTCTCTCTCTCTATGTACCCCCCCCCCCCTTCTCCCTCTCTCTACAGTATGTCTCCTCCCCCCTCTCTCTCTCTCTCTCTCTCTCTGTTGCAACACATGGTGTAACTCAAATATTTCTGACGCTCCCCAACACTTCACCAAATCATCATTGAAAGTACTTTGCAACTACTGGCCTATGTCTTTGACCCCATAAAGAGGTCAACCTTGCATATATGATACATGTTAGCCAAGCCTAGCTTCTATTTCATGCACAAATTGCAAAAATTTCAACAGAAACATTAAATCATACAAAATAAAAAATATATAAAAAAGATTTACAAATCATTTGTGTTTAACAACATTTTGAAGAAGTTAGTGTAGATTTTTGTTAGTAAAGTTCCATCCCTTTCAAGAGAATATATGAAAGTAGTGATTCCACTTGGACAGCTATTCTTGTTCCAAGAAATTCATAATCTTTTTTTTCAAATTGTGTTTTCTAAATGTTCATTCTTTTTTCAAATTCATATTGATTTTACATTAATTAATATTTGTGTATTATATCTCATATTTTTAATACACTGTTGAGAAGGATGGGTAATAGGTACTTCTTTGGAGGGGGGGGGGGGCAAGGACAAGATCATAACGAACCAAGTTAACACATTAATTGAAGAACACAATATAATAAATATCTGTTACAATAGTAGCAAAATCTTAAAACCCAATTTCTCTTCTTATTCTGGCATCAGCTTTGTTAGCAATAATAATTCATAAATGACATCCACACCAGCGCTCAAAATACACGGGGGCGGTGGGCGATTCGCCCCCGTGAGCTACATAATCGCCCCCGTCAGGTTGCTCACGGGGGCAATTGCAAAATCAAAAATCGCCCCGTAGAATTATAAAATAAAGATTATCTTTTCTGTTATAACAGATTAGCGTGCAAGATTTCTTGTTTTATGAGTAGGCCTATTATTACCGATTCAGCTCACAGTGCAGTGCCGCCGTCAGCAGTGGTTATAGGCCTACTGCGCCCTTAGTAGCGGTACGTGTGCACGCTGCCGCACTATGTCTGCTGGAGCTGGAGGCGATCGCGCAAGGGCAGAAACATGGTCATGGAGAAGTTTTTCGTTGTGAAAGCGTTAACCTGCTGAAATCTGGTGATTTCAAATGACTAGCAAATAATGAACCTCGACCAGTAGATCAATATTAGGGACTTTAAGATTTGCACGATGGGAACGTGGACTGAAACGTGTGACCTCCTTTTAAGGCAGTGTCAGTGCTTAAAAGGACGTCACATGTGACTGCCAGTGCCTTAAAAGGACGTAACACGTCCACGTCCACGCAAATCTAAAAGTCCCTATTGAGAAGAAGAGGAAGACCAAGATGTCGTGGAATGATATGGTAACATGGGCAGATCTACGGGGGGGGGGGGGGGGGGGGGTTAGGGGTTTAACCCCCTCCTCCCATCCCCGGCCCCCTTCGGCTGCCAAGTGAAAATGTGATATTAAAGCGGGGGGGGGGGGGGGGATGCTGGAGAGGAGGACTACTAATCTATTTTATTTTTTCATGGGGGGGGGGGAAGTGAAGCGCCGTTTTAGCATGACTTTCTTTTAACTCTTACTTTCACCTATCTCAGATAACCCTAAGTTTTTGGTTGCTGCTTTATATGTAGTTGATAATGCATGATTAAAGTAAAGAGAGAGAGAGAGAGAGAGAACCACCATCATTTTGCAATGGTTCAGGGTTCGTGTAATGTACATTTGAAACCATTTCTTAGCGTCTGAACCCTAACAAAATGGCAAAACTATTTTTGAGGAAAAGCATTATACTGAAATAAATAAAGAATAATAGCTTTATATTGGATCATACTAATACTGATACGGGCTAAAGACAATGTGGTATTTGTATAGAGGTATTCCAAAATGACATTCTGATAATCAACATTTGTTCTGGTATCATAATGTATATACGCATAATACAACTGATCTTTATGATTTCTTAACGTGACATAGCTTCTTTTCCCCCTGCAAACAAAAAAGAAAACAAGGTTATTTAATAAAAGGATCATGCGACAAATATTCATTGTGATTCAAATTGATGCAAGGATTTTTTTGAATAAGCAATGTTTTTCACCAGAATCTTCTTTGTAAAAACGACTTTACAAATCTCAGCCATGTAAATCTGCCACTGTGTTGTAAGATCTCTTTCAGATTAGGAGAAGTGTATTCTTTAATGAGTATTTTACATTGAATGGAACGTCTCAACTCAGTAAGCATGGCTGAGATTTGTAAAAGTTGTTTTTGCAAAGAAGATTCGGGTGAATAGCAGTGCTTATTCAAACAAATATTCGCATCAATTTGAATCACAATCATTATTTGTCGCTTAATCCCTTTTAATTACCTCGTTTTCTTTCTCGTTTGCAAGGGGAGAAGAAGATATGTCACGTTAAAGACATCATAAAGATCAGTGTTGTATGCGTATATATTATATACACAGGCCAGTAACAGCTATGTAGCTTGTAAAGTTGTAAGAGGGAAAATGCTGATTGAAATGATAATGATGAAATAGCAAATAATTGAGGAGTATCATAGGTACCAATTCAATGGATATTTGTATAAAAAAGAGCCCCCGTCAGTACTAAAAGAACCCCCGTGAGAAGGCTCACGGGGGCTCTTTTTGGGGGGGAAGAGCCCCCGTGGACAAAAAATTAATTTGAGCCCTGATCCACACTGAAGCAAATTTTGAGGTGGCCCAAATATTTTCTCTGGCAACATCTTCTCCTTGCTTTATTTCATAAAAGTAAAGGGTTATGTTAGGGATGTTATTTGGTTTTCAGATTAGATTCAGGGTTAGGGTAAGGTGAAGAGTTTGGTCCAGGTATGAAGTAAGAAATTTGGTGTGAGAAATGTACTGCAGAGTGATTGTTGCCAGAGCATGTGTTACATAATTAGTGAACCTACAAAATGAATTACATCATGGGCAGTAGAGCATATGCTATACGGTTCTAGGACACCTACCCCCTGGACAACCACCCCTAGGCTAACCACCCTCTACGACAACTACCCCGGACAACTATCCCCCAGTCAACTACCCCCCAGACAACTACCCCCGGATAACTACCCCCCCCCCCCCCGACAACTACCCCCCTGGATATATGTCGGGGGGGGGGGGGTAGTTGTTCTAGAGGGTGGTTATCCGAGGGTTGGTTATCCGGTGGAAGGGGGGGGGGGGGCAAGGTGGTAGGTGTACCACATATTGTGACATGTACATGTATAGCCTTAGGACTGGTGTTTCATTCCCTCAAGTGCACGTGCTGCTCTACAATGTCCATGATGCAATTGGTCCGCCCAACTTACCTATCTGAGATGCTCTGCTGTTGTTGTGTCCATTCTGGAAGCAGTTTCCACAAAATTATGTTCCATCTCATCCACCTTGGCAGTATCGGGTGAGTGAAATGTTGAGATTGGTGGGCTAACCATTGGTGGACTGGAGTATGATGAACACTCTGTTGACCGGGCAGGCACACATATCATTAACCTGCGAAGAGATTTCAACTTCTTTTTCGACTTGAGTTTACCACTCTTGGATTTCTTTGATTGGCTACTAGTGCGTTTCAACTTCCTCTTTAGCTTCTTCTCGTTTCTTTTGAATAGGCCCCTGAATATCTTGTGCTTCTTCCTGCCTTTGACAGGAGGTGTCTTCTCGGACGGGTCGGTGTTATTGTTTGTCAAATCCTCTTGCGCCTCTGAAGATGAGTCATTTTCTTTGGATTCAACAGAGATTTCCGAGCTCACTTCAACACAGGAGCTGTGGTCGATGTGTGCTGCTAGCTCTTTCCAGAAGGGATCGGTATCTGAGAAAGATCGACCAACCTTGGTGCTCCACTTTCGTTGTTCTTTCCGAGAAAGGTCTACATAGATGGGAAGCACCTCCGGATGATTTGCTTTGGTCCTCTTGCTCTCAACCTGATACGCGATGTTTCTGTCTTTCTGAAAGATCTTCTCCTTCGAAGAGCGAAGTGAGATGAGCAGTATGATGAAGCTGGAATCCTCCCACGCTCTGAAACGTTGGCATTTAGGACCACCCACCACGAAATCCCGCTTGCTGTGATACCCCTTTAGGTCATACTTTTCTTCTAAAACTAAGAAGAACTTCTCAGCTAATTCCTTGTCCTTGTCTATATGCACAATGGCAAAGTCGTAGGTCTCCGGAATAGTGCTTTCAGACTTGCCTTTACTTTCAGAGCCAGCTACTGAGTCCAAGTCAGACATTTGCAGCCCGTCCATTGCCATCCAAAGTTGTGGCACTTCATCTACATCTCATTAGTGGCTAACCGACAGACCTGTACCACAAGGACTACCACAAGGACACTAACAAAATCCCACTCCAGTCAGAAACCAAAACAACACCAGCCAACGACCGCATTGGCTGTATGCACTACAATGATAACAGACTCCTAAACATCAGATATGATATATACATGCACATGTCGTTGGAAATATAGCAGAGACACCCATACTGCATGCATGGAGCCACATCCTTCCTTGTTCCATCCTATGGCACATGTGTATAACCACATAACACCTTGCCAGCATTTCCTGTACGTACAAAGAGAGCAAGTGAAATGGATAAGATCACTTTCTAATTTATGATATGATATGATCTATTTTTGGAAAGTCTATTTTTGTAACAAAGTAGGTATCCTCAACTCATCTTGTTATAATAACAATTTTGTTATAAATGTCAAGACATAATTTCAAATGATCTCTCTGTAAGTGTAAATGTAAACATAAGTGAGCAATTTTACTCAACAGTTTTTATTGAGTGCTTGGCAAACAAATAAAGACTGATATTTGTAATCTGATGAACACAAAATAAAGTAAGCTGTAAGAATGCATTACATATACTTAAGATTTCTTTTAAAACAATTTGACCCACTCTCTTCTAACGTCAGTGCAAATTAGAAAGATAACATTTATATGATATTGACTGGCCTTTTGGGATTTATCAGAAAATATATTGCCCTAATTAAAATCATATCGACCTCATCTTCAACTTGGTCAATATGATTTCAGTAAGGGCAATACATCCTTGCATCTCCCGACAGATAGGCCAGCTAATATCATAATTAAGATCCCTTTGTGTTTCAGGAAAGGGTACAGTTACTATACAATTTTTTTAGAATTTCTCAATTTTGTCTTCATTTTCCAAAAGAGCATCAACAATAATGTCCGAATGTCGAAAACTAATTGAATTGGCTGAGATATGACCATCTGAATAAAATATGTCCTATGGGAACTCAGTATTATAGTGCTCTCGTTCCTAATGTTATAAACCAGAGCAATATAACACTGAGTTACCATAGAACAAAATATATAATAATTGCAAATTAAGTATTATAAACAGCACGAAGACTAATTCCAACTTTGTAAACCCTTGTAAGACCACACTGCTAGTGACAGAATTACACATAGAAATACAAAGTGTAACAACTGCATGTACATTGTTTCTTGTATGAGACAAGAAACCAAGTAATTGTATTGCACACGCATGATCAAAACCTAGATGCAAAACAGAAACATGGCACAATGACAATTTAGATTTACTTTCCTATCCTGATTCAAACAACACATCCATAAATGGATATGAATTCTGGGAAATGGGCAACCCCTATGCTTAAATTTTGAGGAATGATACATGTGTACTAAGTATACCGGTAGTCTGATGTTTGTGTATTCACTTACATGCAGGTAGCTGTAATAGCGAAATGTTGTTTCACAAAAAGATGCATCCAGAACGCAAACTGCAGAACTGTTTAAACTCATAATCTTGTCATACAGAGGTGGAACCAGATCGTTAGGATATATGGAGCTGGGAAATGCTTACACCATCTCGATCAAGCTTTAATGTTATTAAACTTCCACTCCGATATCAAAAAAGAACTTTTGATTACCGAACATTACAAACTTTTGCATTTTCCGTTCCGAACTTCCACTACATATTGCAAAGCTAAATGTCAAAACACAGATTGACCATCCATCATTATTTGCTTATATTCATTTTGTATATTATTACTGTCATCAGCTTCTAGACCTGGACAATGTGATGGAGATATTAGGAAGCATTATCTATATGAGGCTTTCGAGGGATACAATAAATCAGTGTATTCAATATCTTTAGCTCAGTACCCGGATGACCGACCAGTATTGTTTTTGTATTGCTCGGTCATCCTGGAACTTCAAGTTAGCGCAAAATAAGTGCGACACATCAGTCAGACGCGGGCAGAGCAGGGTAGCTTACAGTGTATTTTGCGCTAATTTTTAAACAATGGGTTATGTAAATGAGGGTTTTAAAGCTAAAGACCAGTTATGGTCATGCGATTGCATTGTGAAAGAAACGGTGTGAAATCGATCAGAAAAGGTTGATCATCTAGCATATATGTACTGCAAGGTTCTGGAATCATCAAAATGATAAGAAATTTGGCCAAGTCTTCATAAAGTTAGAAGCACTGTACACAGAAAGATGTATATGGGACTACACACACATGCCCGACACATGCATTTCATATCTCTCAACAGGCGAGAGATACACTAATTTACCAAATATATCAATTAGTAGGCGGTTTCCCGTCAACATTTTTATCATCATGTAATATTCAAAACATATTCTTTCACATGATTGGTAATAAGAGCTTCCATTTCATTTTTTGAAATTGGGGCGTTTCCAATACTGGTCTTTACCTTTAACTATGGGTTAAGTTAAACCTCTTTTGTGAATTCGGGCCAAAGCCATATTTACTGAGGTAATTAAGTCAAAAATTTGTTATTTTACTAGTCAGCCTAATATAGATAATAATAACATTTATGGCTTTGTAATTTTCCTGTGATACAAGCATATATTGCTCTCGCTATGACAATATTAGACTCGTCTTTGACTCGTCCAATATTGTCATAGCTCGAGCAATATATTCTTGTATCCCACTCAAAGCCATCCATGATTATATAAGTATTGTTTTGTATGTTGTTGTTGTCTTTTATGATGACTGCTAGTAGTTATAATGATTATAACGACCGTAAGTTTCAACAGGATCACTGATGCTGATAACTATAATAGTCATGAAAATATAATTATTATATCAATGATAATAACAATAATAATAATGATTATAATAATAATATTAATAATAATAATAATACAAATGATAATGATAATAATAATTAATGGTAATAATAATAAATAATAATAATGATAATAATGATAATAATCAAAGGTAATAATAATATGACAATTATACTAATAAAATGATAAATATTGATGAACATTAATACAGAAACATCCGCATGTCCATCTTCCCTCTCTCTCTCTCTCTCTCTCTCTCTCTCTCTCTCTCTCTCTCTCTCTCTCTCTCTCTCTCTCTCCCTCACCCGTACCCCCACTCCAGCACTGCGCTCAACAGGCACAGCGCTCTGCCAGGCTAGGCCAAGTGAACAGCAAAGCGCTGGCCTGGAGCCCGGAGGGCGTTGGGTAAACATAATAGAAGGTCTTCTGCAAATACTCACCCAAAACATACAATTTTCCTTAAATTTAGCACATGGTTTCTCGTTCTGTTACTTCCGGATTAGATTTTTACTCTAGATAGCTACGTCCGGGTGGTGTTGACGACGTTGAAATGCTCAGGCTTGGATCTGCTTCTGTTGTTATTCTCGTGGAAAATTGCGTCGTGACGTACGTACGAGAGCTAGAGAGAATACGCGTAGAGATTACCGCAGCGAGGCCAGCTTGCAGATCGAGTGCTGGCTCTCACACACACAATCATGCGCACGCAATCTCATATCATATTTCAGCTTAAAATTTTGCTTGATATTTATCATATGACGTATTGAGATGCATGCAAAGTACAATTTAAATCCACACAAAAAAAGAAATTTAGCAACATGATTTTCTTTATGTATCTCAAAATCTTATCTTTTAAAACAAATTCTCAAAACAAATTAAAGCGACTGGAAATAAGGTGGCGCACCTATGACCAATAATATGGGGAATCCCCTCCTTTGGGGGAGGATGGGCGCGGTCATATTGAATCAGAGCCATATATTCACAGAGTTTGTCCAATCTGGTTTCACTTGGTCGGGATGTTCTTTTGTTTCTGCAATAAAGTAGCTGTAGGCCTATTGTGTCCAGCTCGAACCGAGTTGACCCTCCTGGCCGCTGTGTAGAGAATCAGAATCAGGGGAAGTCCACCCTGAAAATTAGCCGGTATTAATTTAAGCATAAATACAAAAAAAATTGTGATTTGAGCAATATCTGACGTGAGTGGGGCCGCGGTTCGTATACGACATGACATGGTAAGGCGTATATAAGTGGCAGTGTGTTCCAGTCATACATTCTGCAAGATATGGAAATGCAATGAATGATATCAGAGAAAAAGTTGTATACTAAACAGCAATTGTTTTATTTCTAACATTTTGAATATCCGTGATTTTTTTTTGAAAGAGTTTAGTTGATCAAGTCAGGCGCGGATCCAGGATTTCTTAGGGGAGGGGGCCCAACTTTTTTTTTTTTGCTCCCGAAGATTTGAAAATCGCGCCGGCCGAAAATTCGCTCAGTGGGGGGTGGGGGGGGGGGGCCAACCCCCCCAAAAGGTAAAAATCAAAAAAAAATTCTCAAGGGGGGGGGGGACGGGCCTGGGCCCCCGGCCCCCCCCCCCCTGGATCCGCCACTGAATCAAGTACATGTGCTGTATATCTGGACCCTGCATCATTCTAATTTAATACGAATCAAGGTCATCAAGGCCTTTTGAGAGGATGATTCATGGATACCTGACAGAATTTGTAGAAAATCTGAAAGTCCTGGTGGTTTGTTTAAACTATCTGTATCAAACTCTTTGTTTTTAATACATTTTCTACAGGATCTTATTTGTTCAAGTTCCTCACTCATCTGCTTCCCTCTCACATTCCGGTCCATAATAGTCAGTGCAAAATAAAGATCGGGATGGCCCAGAGGAAAGGATGCGATGTAAACAGCCAACTCTGAATAAAACGATTTGAAAATGTAACCATGTTGTTTTCGTTATGTTTTTCCAAAAAAAACACCTAGATTCAAAAATCCATAGATAATAAAAAGATCATAATTATGTCGAGCTTATTATATTTTCTGACTGATAAAATAATCAATCTTTTTAAATCTCTTCGAATGCAATGATGGTGTTCTTTCTTTCAATTTCAATTCGTAAGAATCTCCCAAGTACACAACTCCATATTATTGTGGTCTAGTTTCTTTGCTTTGGTTAGTTTGTTTTACTTCCTGACTGCTGACAGCCTAAGTATGTTTGTAAGCAACAAGGGGACCGACGGCTTGATTACATATGGGCACTAGTGCATGGGACTTGGTTTCGAACCCATTTATGAGACCACTACCACAGAGCCATTTTACCCTGCACACAGATTTTAAAAAAAATGCTATTCAGTGTATAACTCAAATAAGTGATAGAGGTGTGTTTGAATCACTTATTTACACGAAATAAATACATTAGAGAGAGAGAGAGAGAGAGAGAGAGAGAGAGAGAGAGAGAGAGAAGGAGAGAGAGACGGTGGCTTGGATAACCTTCCACCTGCTCTCTATGTTGTGTTTTATCGGTAGATGGCGCTGTTGTCAATCTGGACCAAAGAGATTCGATCATACACGTATGTAACTCTGAGACTGAACATAATTTCTCCTATCTACCTTTCTGTCTTTCTTTATAAAAATATGTATTTATTATTTTCTACTTTCTCACTTTCTTCTTTGCTTGCTTTTTTGCTTGCGAGCTTGCTTCCATAATTATCAGATATTCTAGACACTAAGTGCCCCTCACGGTGCCCACTGTCGAACAATACTTATCCATGTCCGCCGCCAAAGAGAGGAGGTAGAAAAAGAAGAAGAGGAAAAAAGGAGAAGAAGAAGAAGGAGGAGGAGGAAGAGGAGGTAGAAGAAGGGAGAGGAGAATGAGGAGGAGGTGGAAAAGAAGAAGGTGGCCCTTTTTTTAAGAAAAAGAAAGATAATTTTCCCAAAACATATACTTTCCTTCTCTTTTTTAAAATATTTATCAGTAATCAGACAATATTAACTTGTCTCTCTCTTCTATGGACCTTCTCACAACCTTCTTTTTGTGCGTTCATTAGACCGACGGCCCACAAGACCAAACTTTTCAATCTTTCTAAAATATTGATATTTTTAAAAGTAATCATATAGATTCACGGACATGTTCAAAAATTTCATTCTCTTCTATTACTTCTTAATTATGTATTTTGTTGTCTTGTTGGTCTCTAGAGCTTTCGACCTTTTGTGTCATTATTCTCGTGGATCATTTTGTTTTGTCAGTCTCGTGGGCATGGGTGTCGATCCGGGGGGGGGGGGGGATTGGGGGATATATCCCCCCCCCCAAATATTTCAGGTGGGGGATGGGGGGGCCTGTACAATTATTCCCCCCCCCCCCCAATAATTCACCATCAAAAAAAAAAATGAAGAGAAAAATTAATGATGAGAGCCCGATGAGAGTAGTTAATGGGTATTACTCGCAAGATGACCATCAATATAGACATTTTGCTATCTCATTTTCATAATACATACATATATAAATAGAAAACGAAGTAAATGAGACAATGTGAGACAAAAATAAATTGAATTCTCGCTCATACGGCTTTATCGGGATTTGATGAATTTATTCAATTTATTCAATCAACAGCATCATGAAATGCCGTGCGCAAAATACAGAGCTGCAGCGTTAAAAAGCGCAAAAGTGCAAAAAAAAAGTAAAGAATGGGAGAGAGAGATAATGAGAGACAGAGAGGATACAGGCGCGTAGAAAAGGGGACGGTGGGGCATTCGCCCCCCCTCCCCCCCCCAAAAAAAAAAGCCAGCGAAAAAAGAAAAAAAAAAAAAAGAGAGAGAAAGAAGAAAGGAAGAGGATTTAGGAAGGAAAAAGGATTAAGAGTCGAGAATGGTACAACGAATCGTCTTCTTTCTCTAATGAAACGTCAAAGGTTCCCCGCTTCGCGTGGGAGGGGGGAACCTTTCTCTCCCTGCACCGACCCCCCTAGGCTTTGTAAGTGATTCGCACGCTTTGTGATCACTACCGCCCCCCCCCCTTATAAAATAATATCCTGGCTCCGCGCTTGAGAGGATATTAACCCAGGTAGCAAGCCCATGTGGGACTCACATATTCTCTGAAATGTTATCTTTATTGAGGGTGACTTGAAAAAGTTAGCAACTTGGAAGGGAGGCGGTGCAATCTGCCATACGCTTCTACCTCTTGGTTGCTTTGATCCATTGCCGAAAATATTTTGGCAACTATCACCCCCCCCCCCCAACCCCCAACCACGGGTACAAATCAACGCCCATGCTCGTGGGTCATCGGTTTAGTGGGCTATCGGTCAACTGGATTACCCTCCGACGACCACTCCCCTTAACCCTAAAAAGGCCGGGCTATTTGCATATTTATGGTAATTTATGCAAATAAAGTCATAAAAATCACATTTTTACCCATAAATCATATATTATTCATATTTAAGCATTCTTTTTTAGTACATAATATTCATTAGACCATTCTGAATAATAATACGACAAAAAATTTGGAAGAGCGAGCTTATATCTTATGTTATCCCTTGTTTTGATAATAATTCATTGTTTTTTTAACTTATGTATTTCATTGTTTTGTTGTTTTATTTCATTTCTTACTACAATTCAACTATTTTGACTCCAAAAACAACCACCTAAACTTCAAACAAGACCCAATAACCCATGTTTGATCTGTTTTTAGGAAAAATGACTCTTCCATATGTTTTGTATGCAAATCACGAAAATGAGCGATTTTCGGGCTGACATGCAAAGACAAAAGGTCACGTGAGATTGTAACCGTAGGTCCGATTTTCAAAAAAAATCTTTTAAAAGTTGCGCAAGACTCGAAAGAAAAAAGTCAGCGAGCGGCGGGGCGCCATCCATATGCGTTCCCGAGCAATCGGAAAAATCGTGGAGGGGGGGGGGGCCATAATGGCCCCCGCCGGCCTTATTAGGGTTAAAGACCAATGTAGTAAATAAACATAACGAACATGACTTGTGTAGAATTCTTTGGCGTATCCAGGTAATGAGAAAGGGGTGATTGGGAGTCGTGACAGCCTTGAATGCTAGACCCATTTCACAATGTGCTAAAACCGTTGGGGGGGGGGGGGGGTGGAGCGGAATCATGGCTCCACCCTGTGATGGATGGGCCTATGTTATTATCAGAAAATTAGAGAGATGAAGTAATGATAATTATATAAAGATATATAAATAAACAACAACATTAATTTGTTCGCCTCTTGCCCAAATTCCGATTTCTGATTTTTTTCTTCAAGCCGCAGCGAAATTGTGTTGTATATAATTATACATACTTTCATCGGTGGCAGTTATTAGATCTGCGGGAGAAGACGTGCCCCGGATAATATCTGTATAACATTAAAAAGCACAATAAGTACACAGATAAATGTGCCGTAAGTGCCCCTGGAGTATATTTTGTTAGACCCAATGGTGGGCACCGTTGTTCCCCTTCCCTCCTAATACGCCACTGTTTCTGTTTTATTACCTTAGGTCTATAGAGGTGTCGTGGTCGAGTGGATATGTCACCGAACTGTGGATCACAAGGTCTCATGCAGTTCAAGTCAGTGATGTCCTTTGGCAAACATTAATCTACATTTGCCACACTCAACCCTGGGGGGTGTTTCACTAAAGCCCTAAAATCGATCTAAAATCGATTTGATCGATTTTAAGGGCTTAAAATTGATTTCGATTTTAGCAGCAGTTTCACTAAATAAATAAAATCGATTTTAGCCTTAAAATCGATTTTAAGTTAGAGTGTGATCCATATCAATTTTAAATCAATTTTATCATTATTCATTGCATTATTGATATGCTATGTTCAGCATTCATTGGTTTTAAAGGCGCAAGTGTCGGCTAGCTTCAATTTGAACATACATCTGAAAATGAAGAATTCTGTTCTTGGGGGAACAAATCTTTGTTCATAACCAATTTCTTTTTTAAATCATCATAGTTAGGCATTATCAATACAAAATGTGGCACTCTGGAGGGGGGGGGGGGCACAATGGCCCATTTTTTTCTTCAAAAATACATGGGCGGCCCGTTTTCCCCTTAACCCTATCTAGCCTGGGGGGGGGGGGGGAGGCCTTATCCAGCCGTTGGCACGGGAGGGGGCCCAATTCGTGAGACAATATTTAGCAGCGAAACAGCCGGCCAATAATTCGCTCAGTGGGGGGGGGGGGGGGGGGGGGGGGTAATGAACAATAAAAAAAAAATTATTGGGGGGGGGGGCCTCGAAAATTTGAAAAAAAACGCACCCCCCCCCCCTTGAGTCCCAGGGGAGGAGGCCCATCTCAAACAAAAAAAGGTACAGTTAACGTGTTCTTACACGTTTTTTTCTCCAGGGGAGGGGGCCCGGACCCCCCAGGCTATGCAGTTTCAAAATAACCCATGCTAGATAGGGTTTAAGTGCCCCTTTTACATCTGATTAACATCCCTTTTTGTTTATTACATGTGCACTTTTCCTTCATGTAGTTTGTCCCGTTTCACTTTGTTTTAACGTTCCTCTTGTTATTCCTAATAACTTTTTATGTTTTCTTCTTAGAAGTGACCCTTTTCCATTTTATGTGCCCCTTTTTCTATATTTTTTTAACCATATGCGCTTACAATTATGTGTCCTTATTTCGTTTATATTCTCTCTCTCTCTCTCATTAACATAAAACGACACTCCCATCACAAGGCTTTGCTTGCCGTAATTTTGTTTCTTCATAAACACCCCCCCCCCCTTCCCCCACAAAAAAAAATAATTAAAGAACAAAAATGAATAAATAAACACCAACTTATAACAATAACTCACCAGCATACAAACACACCATTCTTGAATCACATCATTGCCCTTTACCATCATGTAATTATCATCACCATGCGCTAGCGTACAATCTCATCTATTCATCCCCCCTTTTATCTTCTTAGAAGACAAAAAATACATACAAAATAAAATTAAAAGAGATTTTAAAGTATAATCAATATGTTTATGCTTTAATGAATGATGAGCATAGCAAACACATTTAAGGGATACAATTACAATATTTTAAATGACACAAATAAAAGTGCTCCTATGAAAGTATCAGCCAGTTGTTAAAACTACTGCAGCTGATATCTGCCACTCTCTATTCGAGTTACCTTTATGGAGATTAAAAGAGTAATACTTGTCACAAATATTTCTGTTACTCATACGGTTGTTAATCTAAGGATGATATACATTGTCATGTAAGGTCACGCAGTCGGTGAGAATGTGGTTTCTTGATGCAATAGTTTGTCTATATGAAATTAATCATCAATTCTTTTCTATCAGCTTTGACAAAAAATTCTAAGGACAACATAAGTCAGAGTTAATATATTTCCTGCAGGAAAAATCTGTTTTCACTCAATCACAATGTTCTGTTGTTTATTTTGTATTTGTTGTTGTGCAATTGCTACAATAGCACTTTAAGCACCAACAGGTAATTATCGATACATAGTCATGCAAGAAATGCCTCTAGGAAGAGTTCCAAATAGGTCATCAAACTGCTGCTCAGATGAATTGCTAATTAAGAAATTCCAATTTGATATTTTAAGATTTATTGCCATGAACAAAATTAACTATGTAATGTGAGTTTGGTAACAATAACCTCCATGACAGAATAATAGCTTTTTATTTCTTCTCTTTTCTTCTGCAAGATTCTAAAATTCTGTTTAAAATATAGGAAATCTTGGAAGTATCATTAAAACGTTTACTTCCTTTAAAATATTTTATGTTAACATTTTTATCAAACCCAAAACCTCAAACTCAATGGCAAAATTTTAGTACCTTGACTAGAGCATTTTTAATAGCTTATAGGAATTAATTTGTAAATCTTATTTTACAATTAGTGTTGGTTGTAAAAAGTGACCAGTCCATGATACCAAGATCTGTATCTCATTGTGGTTCCTCTTGCTTAAAGCTGGAAAAGGGAGCTTCTGTCTGTAGGCTGGCTGATGTTTCATAAGAAGCATAACGTTGCAGGTAATTCAGGCTCTGCAGTCTAGAATAGGAATTGAAAGTTATGTAATAAATGAATCAATTACTAAATACTAGTACAACTTTTCAATCAATCTTCATTTTTTGTATTTATGATTATTTCAAATACTTTAATTGCTAAATAAATAAAGTAGGAGAATAAAAAATAGTTACAGAAGATAAATGATTAATTGTTTGCTTTGGATAAAAAAAAAAAATCCTTTTATTACCATTTGTGTATGTTTTATCTAACAGAATGGGTATTAGACTTCTTACAAGGATTATGAAAAATGATAGATCAATTTTTGTAATTGATACTGCTTACCTTTTCAATTTGAAGAGATGGACAATAAATGTTCATTTTTCATGAACTAGCAGTACATGCAGATGCCATAGCTCTTTATTTTGCAACCTAGGATTTAAAACAGAGATACATATATTTGTTATGAAGAGAGCACATCTATTTTTCAGAAAAGTAATTGTCACAGTATCAAATGTGTTCAAAAGAACATAAGTACATTTTTATCAGTAATTACAACAGTAATTTACATGTATTCGGTCCAAGACATTGTTACCAACCAAATTGTAAGTTTTAGACATTTGGAAGATTGACTATGGAGTCTAATCTTGATCTCGGATACCCTGCTCTTAAACCAAACACTGTTGTACACAGATTCAATGAACATTCCCCTGTCGTGAGTAGAAGGCAAAGAGGTATAAAACAAACAGAGCAGCTTTCATCATACATAAATTCTCATTCACAGTTTGTTCAATCACCTCTTTATTCATTAATTGCTGCCCTATTATTTGTACAATATTAATCAGGCTGGCTGATAAAGTAATTTATCTATGATTTAGACATGTCATAGTTGACTTCCCCTCACATGGATTTATCAGTTTGCCATTGTACGTAGAAAATTTAATGAAAATCAAGATTTACACACTCAACAACAAATAAGTAATCTATTTATACATAGGTCTAGAAGAACCACACAAAAAAAATCTTACCTTTGTTTCATTATTGGTGTGCAAATTTTGCTAGTAAGAAGATCACTCCATGAGGCCGCTTAGCACAGTAGGATCTATAGCTGTACACCTAGATATTGAGCTTGAGTACATTCTGCATATCCGAACCCTTTCCTTGCGCCTGAGGCCAAGGAAGAATGAGAAGTCCAAGACTGTAGACACGGCAGAAGAGAACTTTTGAGTCTTGGACTAAAGCCAAGGTCTATTTGGTGGATATGACTTGTGGTCCACTCCATCTTTTAGTCCGACTCTGAAATTTAAAAAAAAAATAATAATAATTGGAGTTGGACTGTGTTAGGGACCCTAATACCAGGGACGGATCAAGGGGGGGGGGGGGGGGCACAGAGGGCATCCTAGATCTAGACCTATCAAGTAGTCTTTCATGTAGATCTAGACCTAGACTCTAGACTAAATCTACATCTAGAGTAGATCTAGACCTGGGTCTGACCGTAACACTCTAGGACCTCTAGATATAGTTATAGATCTAGTCTAGAGTCTAATTTTCTTTCATAAAATTTTACCTTCAAAACAATAATCCTATTGATTTTTAATAATTAGTCCCTAGGCCTAGCCCTAGGCCTAATAGATCTAGACCTAGAGTCTAGATCTATCATTTATAATTAGACCCTAGGCCTAGATCTAGACCTAGCTCTAGATCTATAGACTAGACTAGTCTAGATCTAGAGTCTAGACCTACTAGACTAGCCTCTAGACTAGACTATATCAGGATATCAACAAAAACAATAGGCCTAACAAGTCAAGGCAATGCTAAAATAAATAAGGGATAGATCTAGGGCCTAGGCCTAGATCTAGGCCTAGATCTTGATTCTAAGCCCAAATCTACAACTAGTAGCATAACTAGTAAAACCAAAATACTACTGCAAGAATAAACTAGACTAATGAGTTTGTACCTGTCTGTCCTAACCGAATAATAAACGTCGTTAGGTAATTACTATTGAACCTGCATGAATTTATATGAATGGGACTGAAAAGGTTGAACCGGTGCAATTCGTCCACTTTGAGAGTGATATAAATTGATTTTATTTAAGATTTCGTTCAGTTACACAAACATGAAATTGCATAATAATGAGAGGAACATTTTTCTTCCTCAAAATAACAGATTTGTTATCAACAGAATTGATATTTTCAAAGAAAAACAGATTTTACTTACTTTTCAAGGACTCTCACTGTAGTTAAGCAAGGCCATTTTGTGATCGATTTACCCCAAAATTGACTAGCCTTGATTGCAGACACCTAAAAATCTATTTTAGCTTAAAATCGATTTGATGAAACATCGATTTTAGTTGATGAAACACCCCCCAGGTGAGGTAATAGGTGCCTGACAAGACCCCTTAATTCCTTGAATGCTAGAGCGCCGTAATGGCAGCTATGAGTAAAGCTGGAGTATAATTTTCAAATTTGGAAGCGTAAAGAGACGTTTTAAATGTGACACGCGCTATACAAGAATCGTATATTATTATTTTTTTTTTTAAAGGAAACATTTTTTTCCTTTTCCCCCAATTGTTCTATAAGAAAAACCAACCCCCCCCCCCGAATATCTTCATATTATTAATTCAAACTTGAGTTCGATAATGTATAGAGTCTACATCACAATGAATTGAACAAGTAACAGCTCTGTGTGTGTTTGCATCTTTACAATGATGACAAGGGGGATGGGAGTGGCGGAAAGGCCGCCCGGAAAGGCCGTCGATGAAAGCTAGCTGGCGACGACGGCCTTAGTTGACGACGACGATCGACGGACCGGAGACGACAGGAAATCTGTCACGTGACTTAAATCGCTCAACATCCCTGACGTCACCATGCAATATGGCCGATCGTTCGCTCTGCTGACAATCTGAAATCTTTGCTAGCCTAAGGAACCATTTCACTATCAGTCGAAGGAACCTCACGGAATATCACGCCCATTACTGGTATGTTTCAATTTTCAGAGAGTAAATCCGTAGTTATAAATGGTGATTTGTGGTCTTATTGTTTATGTTTAATGTATGAAGACGTATGAGGTGATGATGATGTTTCACCGCGCCCCTGGGCTTGACTACTTCTTCGTAGTGGTATCCTGGCCCAACGCACTCCGTCGGATTACGTGAGAAATTGCCCTCCCGCCCCACGAATAACAGAATACAGGCGCGCTGGCTACAGCATCAGTAAAATGCAGGTTTAGTCTTATCAGTTCTAAAAAATTGTTAGTGTTACAGCAGATAATGTTCATTGATAGTAATTGAATGATTGAATAATGGGTAGGTCTACCGAATTACGAAAAATGTTGCTTCCCAGGATTTTTGATGTTTTGATTTGGCTGTCAAGTGTCGGTGGCATGGGCATTCATTTCATTCCATATCATTGTCGTTGATTCATCATTCATGAACTTATTGTGAAAATGTTGCGATGTGACTCATAATATGAATTGTGAATAAGAGTGAGCCACTGTCAGGTCATGAATGTGTGGAATCGTCTAGCTTAGCGCATAGCACAGCATCAATTGAATGGGGTAGTCTAAATGTTGATATTTAATAATTCAAATTGTTGTTTTTAATCAATTGTCTGGAACTCTGTATACACTACCTTTCTGGAGACACAACCTTTCTGGAGACACAACCTCTAGGAACATGTACGGTATATGTAAAAAAGGCACAACATACATAGAACATCCAACATTATTAAGAATGCAAGAACATCTATGTGTTTTGAGAGAGAAAAATAAATATTTGAAGGGTGATGCTATGCTCTCTGAAAGTAAAACACACCTGTAGTTATCGAACTTTGATATATTTATTATTGTTAGTTCAAACAATTTACAAGAGAGGTGCACACAGAATAAAGATTTTGAAGATTAAAACAAAAATCATACACACTCTACATGTACACAAGTTTACAGATGTACATATGTACATGTAGATGTAATAGAAAAGAAGGGAGTAAAAAAATAACCAAAAATACATGCACCGGTATTTGTGTTTAAAGAGGTTGCAGCAGAGACTGTAATAAGTAGTTTAAGATACTGCATGATTATGATGAGAAAGTTAAGAATAAAATTGTGTTTTTAAACTCTAATAAGTTAGACTGTAACTATTTCTTCTAGAAAATCTTTAAGTTCATCTACAATCCTTCATCTCATTGAAATTTAGCATTCTTCAAGCCTACATGTACTGCAAGCCTTCAATCATAATGTAGGCCTACAAACAAGTACACTACTCAATTTTAGAACAAATATAGATTGAATTGTTTTTTTAAATAATTGTGGAAATGATTTCTTTAAAAAAAAGCCCTAATTTCTTTTAAAAGAATATGAATAATTTGCATTGCTTTTTCAAGGAAGCAGGTAATTCTGCATTTATGAATTAGCTAAACTGTTGTTTTGTGTCTACAGTTTCTTCTTAAGAATTATGATTTTAAAAAGGTAGCGTTTTCATGTAATGTACTATACAGGCACACATACTAGGGGGTTAAGATATAGATCTCAACCCCTTAGTTGTTTTTTTCAAAGTATTTTTCTATAGAAAGCAAAGATTAAGTGAGTGACATTTAATATTCTAGTAGCTGTGAGTATGAAAATATTAAAGTTAATGATATTGGCCCGTATTCTGAAGTCGTGTCTAACTCCTGTTTAACTAAACAGTTGTCTAAGTCCCGTCTAACTTTAGACACGAAGTCGTGTCTAACTTTTTTGGTATTCTGAAGTCGTGTTTAAACAAAGTTAAACACGAAGTCCTGTCTAAGTCCTGTTTAACTTTAGACAACTGCGAGGGGTTGTTTAAGTCCTGTTTAAGGGCGCGATTCTGCTGCTTTTCAACGCCGACGGTACACTGTACTTGCTGACCCCGAACTTGCGGGGGAGAACGATGGTACGTGCATTCTCCAAAATTTCAAATACGTTTTGCAGGATTTTTTCTCGTGTAGCCTAATTTTTTTTCTCGATAATATTAACTATTCTTATCTACTGGTGACATCTTGGAAATTCCATAATCTATAATAAACTAACCATTCTGTTGGAGAAGTTTCTTTTGTGGTTCTTCCGAGCACTGAGGCACCGATGAGTAGTGTGTTTGTCAATCTCATGCAGTACGTGTACTACGTACGTACGTACACAAAGTACTATAGTACATGCAGTCTAGTCATTACGTCACGATCACATCACCATGGTACCAGCACGCGCACAGCTAGCTGTGCGCGTTAATTTATTTATCCGGTGCGCGCACGCATGCGCATTGGGTCTTTCGTCACAATTAACGCCTACTGGGCATGCCCAGAAGTCGTGACTAAGAGTTAAACACGACTTGCGCAGAACTTAAACAGTTGTTTAGTTAAACACCACTTAGACAGGACTTAAACAGTTGTTTAGTTAGACGAGACTTAGACACGACTTCAGAATACGAAATTTAGTTAAACAGGACTTAGACACGACCTCGCGTCTAAGTCCTGTCTAAGTCGTGTCTAACTAAACAGTTGTTTAACTTTAGACGTGGCTAAGTTAGACACGACTTCAGAATACGGGCCATTGTGTTTACATTTTACATTGTGCATGTACCAGGAAAGTCCCCCCCCCCCCAAAAAAAAAAATCAACGTATAAGTGGAACGTGAAAGGAGTATGAAACTTTGAACTGATATGCAAAGCAGGAAGGTCCTTGTGGCTGGGTTCCTGGGCATGCTTAATGGTCCTAAGATGCACTCTGGTGCAATCTAATCCACAATTTAAAGCACTTACAAACACATTTTATGACAAATATTTCATCAATAGTTTTGGTTGAGAATGAGACTTGTTGCTGATTTCAAACATGTACAATAAAACTTAAAAACCTGCCACTGTTGCAAATAGGAAACGTCATTGACACATTTGCAGTAAATGTATAGAGGTACATGTACATTTACATTGTAACAAAAATATGTTCAGGATGAAATATTTTGTTTAAGAAAAGGAAAGAGCTCTTCAATGTTGGGCTAGTTGGGATAGCATGTTCTCTGGATTACCGTAGATTGCTGGAGCATTGTTGCTTTATTAGTGTATCCATGCAATGAACACCCTGACTATGAGAACTTCAGGGAGTTCTTCCTGCCTTTTGATGAAAAAGTATGTTTCATGACTACATGTATTAATTCTACATATAGAATTCATTATACAAGTGCATGCCAAGGCTGATCTAAATATGTTACTTAGATTCATGATGAGATCTTGTTGGTATGAGTGTGAAGATATCTATGCCTGTGAATCTGTAGCCATAGTCTGTAATCATTGTCGAGAGATCAAAGTGATATTGAGATCAGTGTTGACACACGTTAAGAAGTGACCTTGAGCGAGTATGCTGTAAGTTCTAGAAAGCATTGTTTCATCATGTCATTGTATAAGTCTAAACATAAAAGGGGTATTCTGCCTTCTACAGTGTACTGTATGTCACATGCAAGTTTCTTTGTTTCATGAAAAAGTTGTTTTACAGTATATGTATATGTAACAGAGGGACAGAGGAACCACATTCATGTTCCCATAATCTCTGGTAAAGGGGTACTTTTCGCGCAACAAAGTTCGGCTCGTAATACACACACAAAAAAAAATCGGCCCGTATTGATTTTACACACTGGACTTAGGGGTGCTTTCAAAGGGAGGGAACATGCATACACGTACCCTAAATGACACTGAGTGGGGGGGGGGGGGGGGTGGAGGAGGAGGGGGAGGGAGGAGGGGCGGGAGGAGGGGGAGGGGGAGGGGCGTGATCATACCCCTGTGCAGGTTAGAAAGAAGAATTTGTATTAAATCAATACAACATGTAGACAAAATCAGAATGTTCTTCCGAATCTGAAATTCTGGAAAAAGATTTTGAATGAAAGTTTAGTAGGGTCGGGAAGCCACGTACTAATTGACATATTTGGTATCACGTAGTCCCATATACATGTACATCTTTCTGTGTCTAGTGTTTGTAACTTTACCAAGACTGGGCCAAATTTCTTATCATTTTGATGATTCCAGAACCTTGCAGTACACACCAATACTTATGTGCTAGATTATCAACTTTTTCTGATTGATTCGACAATGTTTCTTTCACAATGCATTCACATGACCAGAACTGGTCTTTACCTTTTAACACAGAGTTAGTGCTCTGATGACTCTGAACAGACTACATTTGTTTTGGTACAAACCAAAGGTTCTGATCACTCATGTGTGTTTAAAAATCAGGGCCCATTTTCATTGAACCTAACATTGAGGGATTACACCTACAATGTACAGCCAAAGCCCATTGTATCAGACCTGTATTGATTTCAGATCAAAACAAACAGTACAAAGGGATTGGTAAGCTCAGGCTTGTGTAAGGGGGGGGGGGGAGGGGCTCATAAAAATAAATGTGAAGAAATGTCAAAGGTACCGATTAGGGCTGCGACGAGTAGTCGAATGCTCGAGTACCCGCACTGTTGACAACTACTCGAGTACGATTTCTCGTACTTGAATATTCGGCCGCAAAAAAAAAAAATCCCTGTCACCTTGCACTGTCCAGGCCGACACTTACGCGTGCCAGGGAGAGCGGCGGCCGCTGGCATGGTACCGTCGGTAAAAATGTTTCCCAACTCAAGCACTGTCAAACTCACCACTCAGAAACTGGGACCAAATGTCCGGATTTCTGTTTGGACTCAGAGGAAAATGGATTATTCTGCCATCTTTGGTTTTTAAAACAGCATTGTTTACTGTTATTATTATTATTCAACTGCATGCGTTTTCGGCGACGGACCTGGGATATACTGCTCCAGTGGTATGTATGGTGGTGGCAAAAAAAAAAAAAAAAATCAAAAAGTTAAAAGAAATTATAAAAAATTATAAAAAAACATGGCGTCCGAATACTCGAGTATTCGCTTGTAAGCCTGGGAGTGTACCCGGCTACCTCATTACACTTTTGTGCACAGCCTTAGTACCGATTAACTTTTAAACAG